ACCATGCCACTTGCCGGCCCCACCCAGTGTGCTTTTTGAGCCGCCAGAGCTGGGATTCAAGCCGAGTAGTCAGCCATGTGGGATCCACTACCTTAACCATCGTGCCTGCAGCTGGTGTTTTCTTTTATCTTTTTTTCTTTTTTTTTTTGAGAGTTTTTTTGCTATAGGGCGCGTGCACTCACCAGAAAGATAGACAGAAATTGAGAAATCACCACCCGGAGGGATAGTCACACCGATGGCCACGCCGCAATCCTTTCTCCTCCTATGGCCATGCCACAATCCCTTCTCCTCCATTCTTCTCTCGGGATCTTGGGCATGCACACACATGTGCCCGGCATGAGTTTAAGCCGCCGGGTCCGGGACCTGGACCATGGTCAACTGCATGAGAGTCCAGCGACATAGCTATTACGCTAACTGCTGGTCCCTACAGCTAGTGTTTTAGAAAAATAATGTTTAACCAGCTGTCTGTGTGCCCTGTGGCCCAGTCAAGTTGACACATAAAATTACCCAACACACCATTTAATCGCGTGCCTAGTATCTCACTGTGGCTTGAATCTGTGTCTCCTGATGAGTACTAATGTAGAGGCTCTTCTCATGTACTTGTGTATCTTCTGTGCCGAAGAGTTTGTTCAAAATTTTTTGGATACTGTTCATTTTTAAAAAGTCAAAGTGTTGGGATCAGCAGATGGCATAATGGTTACATTGCTGGACTCCCATGTAGTCAACAATTGTTCGAGTCCTGGACCAGGCAGCTTAAAACTCATGTCGGACACATGTGTGTGCATGCATACCCAAGATCCCAAAAGGAGAATGAAGGAGAAGGGATTGCGCCATGGTCATCCCCCTTGGGGAGTAATTTCTTGCTTTCTGTCTCTCTCTCTGTCTCTCCGGTGCACCCACACACCTTTTAACAAAAATCTCTCTTTAAAAAAAAAATGTGTTGAGGACCAGCAGCTAGTGCAATGGTTATGTCGCTGGACTCCCATGTAGTCAACCGTGGTTCGCGTCCTGGACCCAGTGGTTTAAAACTCAAGCCGAGTGTGTGTGCATGCATACCCAAGACCCCAAGAGGAGAATGGAGGAGAAGGGATTATGGGGTGGCCATCCCCCCTGGGGGGTGATTTCTCGCTTTCTATCTGTCTTTCTGGTGAGCACATGTGCCCTATGGCAAAAATCTCTCCAAAAAAAAAAAAAAATAGTCTTGAGGACCAGCAGTTAGCGTAATGGCTGTGTCGCTGGACTCCCATATAGTCGACTGTGATTTGAGTCCCTGACCCTGTGGCTTAAACTCACGCCAGGCACATGTGCATGTGTGCCCAAGATTCCCAAAGGAGAATGGAGGAGAAGGGATTGAGGCGTGGTCATGCTCCTGGGGGTTGATTTCTCACTTTCTGTCTCTTTGTCTCTCTCTGTCTTTCTGGTGAGTGCACGTGCCTTGTAGCAAAAACCTCTCCAAAAAATAGTGTTTTCTTATTATCGAATTATAAGTATGTCTTGCAAGTCTGAAACACACCCTTTATGAGATATATATCTATATGAAGATACATCAAATAGTTCATAGAAAAATGAAATTAAAGAATGAATTTATTTTGGTGCAATTTTTTTTTTGAAATTCATGTGCATAGTTTTTTTCAGAATTCACGTGTTTTGTGAATTTTTTTTTTCCTTAGAGAGGTTTTTGCTGTAGGGCATGTGGGCTCACCAGAGAAACAGAAAGCAAGAAATCATCTCCAAGGGGGATGGCCATGCCACAATCCTTTCTTATTCACCTTTTGGGATTTGGGGCATGTACCCACACATACCCAGCATGAAGTTTGAAGCTGCTGGGTCCAGGACTCAAACCACAGTTGACTGTGGGAGTCTAGTCACGTAACCATTACATCATCTGCTGGTCCTTGTTTTGTGAACTTTTTCAAGATCTCTTGTATCTATTGGTTGTCAGAAAAGCCGTGATGCATTTTTGCATAGAAAAGCAGAAAATATATGTTATGACTTTTCCGATGACCCAATATTTTGTTCCTGTCCGTGGTTCATCTTCTTTTGGATTATCAGAGAGTGTATTATGCAATACACTCTCACCAGAGAGAGAGCGATACACACAGAGGGAGAAAGCACCCTCCGATAGAACTGATACCTACCTTCCTAGAACTGATTTAGAAAGAAATCTCCTTGACTTAAGGAGAAGGAAGCTGACATTCCTTGAGGGCATTATCTGTTGCTCCTAAAGTTTTGTATCTTAAATGTCTCTTCATTTTGTGTAATCAAATGGAAGAGAAAAGAAGGAAGAAGTGAATTTTGGGGATTCATGTACAAACAATCTCACTGGCTGAAAGCAATGATTAGAAATCAGTTAAGGCAGGGCCCAGCAGCCAGCGTGGTGGTCAAGGTGCTGGACTCTCACATGGCTGACTGTGGTTCGAGTCCTGGACCTTGCGGCTTGCTTTCTCACTTTTCTTTCTCTTTCTCTCTGGCCAGATTAGAAAATAATAATAGGAACTGGCCGATGGAGTGGTAATTAAGGGAGCTGGACTCTCACGTGGCTGACTGCCATTCAAGTCCGGACCTCATGGCTTACTTTCTTGCTTTCTCTCTCTCTTGCTCTCACTCTGTCCCTCTCTGGTAACTAAAATAAATGAATAAATAAATAAATAAATAAAATCATTTAAAAAAGGAAAATAATAATAATAAATAAAATTACATTTAAAAATTAAAAGAAAAGAAATCAGTTAAAATTAGGAAAATTGGTGCCAGTAGCTGGCCTATTGGTAGAGATGACCAAGGCTAGACAGGGGACCCATGCTTGCTGCTCCCGAGAAGTCTGCTCATCCATTCAGGTTAGGGAATGTGAGCCTGATGCTACAGAGCAGAGAACTGTGGGGCAGGGCAAGACAGAGCTAGACCTTGTCTTCACAGGGAAAGTAAACCATTTACAAAGGAGGCTTCCTTCGTGTATCTCCCGTACCTACTGCAGCTCCTGATGGTGCATGATACACGCCAAGTGCTGGTTGAAAGAATGTGTGTTCATACAGTTGGAGCAGATAAGGCTCAAGCTTGAATGCAGAGATGGAGAGAACAACAATGGCAAAAACACAGGGCAAACTGGGGCCGGCGAGTGGCCTGGTGGTTAAGGCACTCAACTCCCACATGATCGGCCATGGTTTGAGTCTCGGACCTGGAGGTTTGAAAAATCACAGAAGGCGTGTGTGTACACATGTGCCCAAAATCCTGATAGGGGATGGAGAAGGGATTGGGGTTGTGGGTGGTGATTTCTCACTTTGCCTCTCTCTGCAAGTGCATGCACTCTATGGCAAAAACCTAAAAAAAAAAAAAAAAAAAAAAAAAACCACAATGAAGTGAAAAAACAGGATTTGTATAGAAACAGTGACTTTATCTGGCTACAGCGTGGAAGGGCAGAAGGCAAATAATGGGAGATAATAGTCTGAGAAAGTTGGTTGGGAATCACGGGCTATTACTTTGAGAGTACAAGTACGTTTTTAACTAATGCTGAGAGGTTAGCATTTCTTTCTTTCTTTCTTTCTTTTTTTTTTTTTTTTGGAGAGGTTTTTGCTATAGGGCACATGTGCTCGCTCACTGGAGAGACAGAGAGACAGAAAGCGAGACATCACCCCCCAGGGGGGATGGCCACACCATAATCCCTTCTCCATTCGCCTCTTGAGATCTTGATAACGCATGCACACATGAGTTTAAGCCACTGGATCCGGGACTCCAACCATGGTTGACCGCATGGGAGTTCAGTCACATAGCCATTACGCTAACTGCTGGTCCCAAGATTAGCATTTCCTTTACATGGAGTGGGTCCAGTTCCTGTCCAGTGAGGCAATATGGTGATGGGAGAAGATACTGCAGGAAACAGACGATCCAGAGAATGAAGGAAATAGTTCAAAACTTCATTCTTCAAAAGAACAGGGGCCAGATAATGGCACAGCTAAACTGGATCGGGGTGAGGCAGAGTGTGGGAAGGTTCCAGGTTCTGGAAAGGAGCCATCATGGGTCCAGGAATTGGGCTGAGGCTGGAGCCAGGGACGGCATGTGAGGACCCCGTTGGAGGTGCCAATCTCACTGTCTCGCTGACTCAAAAACTAATTTGTAACTAACCAAAGCAATGAAAACTGATAACCCTGCCCCTCCCTGCACCAATAAAACCCCTCTGCCTACTCAGGGTCCAGGGGAGCAGGTTAGAAATGTGACTTCTTGGGGCCAGCAGGTGGCGTAGTGTTTGAGGGCACTGGACTCCCACATGGTCAACCATGGTTTGAGTCCCAGATTTGGCAACTTGTTTTCTCTCTCTCTCTCTCTCTCTCTCTCTCTCTCTCTCTCTCTCTCTTTCTACAAAAAAATATTTTTTTT